TGNTTTTTTTTGTTTAAAGTATTTTTTTTTCATTTAAATTTAGTTTTTTCGAAAATTTTTATATTCGGGTGTAAATAAATCTTAAAAATCTGTTCAAAATTGTTTGAAATATAAGGAATTTAATTTTTCGAAGACCTGAACTTTGACCCCTTATAGCACCTGTTATAAGCTTGCAAAAAAAAACTTGTATACAATTCAAATAAGAGCAAAAGGAGGACTACGTCTATATTTTTAGGTTTTTAGTTATTTACATGCAATAATTAAATATAATTTTTTACTAAAGGTCCTATTTCGAAATTCGAAGGCCCATATCTCGATTTCGGAGGCTAACTTCGAAAAACGGAGAAATAATGTTTTTTACCTATGACTCAATCTCTTAAAAAAAATTGGTTTGGTCCAATACCCAGAAAAAAATGGATTTTTCCGTAGAGTGTTATTATAAAGTGAAGTCAAGTCCTTATCCACTAGGTCCTTCCATCGCAGAGGGTATTCCTCTTCCACCATCGCGACCCGCGTTGATACTTTTAGAACTGACGTAGCCCTTATTTGTAACAAACGTAGCCCTTATTTGTAACAATAATGTCGATGTCGTAAAGTTTTGTGCCTGAGGGGTTCAGTTCTGAGACTCGTTATTATCTTCTCCAACATCAGATTAAGAAATCACACAAAAGAGAGTCACCTTGTCTGAAACCTCGACTGGTATCAAACGGCTCGGAGAGGACCTCCTCAATTCTGCTCAACGTCATTTTACACAGCCTTATTAGTTTCGCGGGGATACAAACTTGAGACATCACTAAATGAAGACAACTCCTTCTCGTGCTGTAGCGGCTTGGAAATCGACAAACAGATGGCAATTGTAGATCCTATTCTCAGGGGTCTTTTCCAAGTTTTGGCGTATTGCCAATACTAGACCTTTGGTAGGTTTGGCAGATCTGAAGCCACACTGGTAAGGCGCAATCAGTTCGTTGACGGAGGGCTTCAGTCTTTCACACAACACGCTCGATTAAGTAGTTGGCACGCATGACCGGGTCGCCTTTCTTGTGGATTGGGCAGAGCGCACTTGAATTCCAGTCGTCGGGCATGCACCTTATTAGTACCATCGTAATTGAATAGCTCGGCTGACAGGCCGTCAGCTCTAGCAGCTTTGTTACTTTTCATCAGCATAATCGCTATTCGTACCTCGTCATAGTCAGGGGCAGGGATATCGACTCCATCGGCATCGACGTAGGGTTCGGGTTCGTCTTCTCTCCTTCTTTCTGTGCTGCTACCATTCAAAAGGGTGGAAGTGTTTCCTCCATAATTGAGTTCGTTCTGTTCATCGGTGACTAGGTCGCCATGGTTGTTCCTACAGGAGTCTTGAAACGTAAGTCGCTCAGCTCTCTGCTAAAAATTTCGGGTGTTTTTTCTGTCGGNTTAGGGTTCGGGTTCGTCTTCTCTCCTTCTTTCTGTGCTGCTACCATTCAAAAGGGTCGAAGTGTTCCCTCCATAATTGAGTTCGTTCTGTTCATCGGTGACTAGGTCGCCATGGTTGTTCCTACAGGAGTCTTGAAACGTAAGTCGCTCAGCTCTCTGCTAAAAATTTCGGGTGTTTTTTCTGTCGGCCAGCATTTCAAGCTCTTCGCGCTCACGTATTTCTACCTCTCTCTTATTATTGCGGCAAATACGTCTAGCTCCCTCTTCAGTCCATATGACGGTTCCATATAGCTCGCGTTGCGCCCGATGACAGCGTGATCCTGTAGGCGGCACCTTTTTTATATGCAGCTTCTTGACACTCCTTATCGTACCAGTAATGAGCGGGAAATGTGGNGACGTATTTCTACCTCTCTCTTATTATTGCGGCAAATACGTCTAGCTCCCTCTTCAGCCCATATGACGGTTCCATATAGCTCGCGTTGCGCCCGATGACAGCGTGATCCTGTAGGCGGCACCTTTTTTATATGCAGCTTCTTGACACTCCTTATCGTACCAGTAATGAGCGGGAAATGTGGTTCCACTGCTCGCGTATGTCGGTTAGTTGAAGAGTGCTCTCTCACAGCAGGTGTGAGAGTCGAGTGGTGAATCAATTGGCCGTCTGNTTTCCTTGCATTGTTGGGCGCACATTTTTCGCTGCACCGAGGCGGGTGTACGCTCTAAGCGCTCATAGAAGATATCTCTGGAAGCCTCATTCTTCTCTTCCAGCGGGGCAATGGCAGATATGAGCGAGATGTTGAAGAATCTCACTTTGATGTGGATTTTGGCTAGACGTTCGTCCACTAGAGTGAACGCCGGTACTCGGCGACGAAGTCTCTATCCCACCACAAATCCAACATTGACTTTGCGCTCCTTTACGTGGCAACTGTAGTTGACGTCGCAAGGCTCCACGCTCGCCCCGTCCATTGCATTTCATGGATTGTGGTGATGCCAGCCTTTATTTTCCCTGGTACATCAACCAGCCGGGCAGAGGCACCTTTCCGATTAAACGTTCGGATATTCCAGGTGCATACCTACAAATCATAGTCCTTCTTACGTTTTCAATGAACGTCATCAAAAGAAGGCATGTATTTTTTTTTATTGGGCAGGGTTTTAACGTGGCGGGACCCAAACCCAGCGCNTCAAATCATAGACCTTCTTACGTTTTCAATGAACGTCATCAAAAGAAGGCATGTATTTTTTTTTATTAGGCAGGGTTTTAACGTGGCGGGACCCAAACCCAGCGCAGGCGGGGTTTTACGCCCTCCGACTTAAGTTTGCTTCCAAACGAGTGTTCGGTCGCTACCCATAGGATTCATGGATATAAATATCCGGACGTAGTGAGCTGCGATTTGAACCGTAAGCACGCGAATCACTTCTGGCCACTCCCAGGTGAATGGCGATGGTGGTAAAAGGCGAATATCAGAACTAAACCCTGATGTATTTTTTTTAAATTCATGGTTTTACATACCTGTATAGTAAACCAAATAGCCGGACAAGACGTAATTCAAAATAAAAAATTTAAAAAATTATCTTTTTTCTATACTCTGTAATATTGCTCGGCAATTTTGTAAGATAAACTAACAATTTATAATCGTTGCTTTCCAGCGAAATATCTTCTCTTAAATGTTATATTTACTTATGTATAAATATGAGGGCGTATACAACATTTTGAGTATGGAGATTTTTTATGCTGGTATATTCATTTATGCTAAATATATTGATATTTTTTTGTTTTGTCACACCGTGTAATAAATAAAAAAAATCATTAAAGGCCGTTAACTTACCTATTTTAAACTATAGTTAAATCATTAGTTAAACTTAACTATAGAAAATTCTGTGTAATCTTTCTGTAGTTAAGTTTAACTAATGATTTAACTATAATTTGAAATACATATATTAGTAGCCCCTGATATGCCATTTTTATTATAAAAATTTATGTACGCTACGTGTTTTCTGCCATCTGCTGTAATTACTTAAAACGTAAACGTCTTGGTTGATCACCAAACGCGTCTATAGTTTTATCAATAATCTCAGATTAGTTCTCTGATACAAAACTTTCGAAATGTTCATACATAAGCTTAGTATCCAGCTCTTAAGAAAAGCAAAAACTCCATATAAAATGACGTACAAGAAATGGCTAAGAAATTTTCTTGAGTCAAATTTCCTTAAGGCAGTACGCAGTTCTTCAGAAATTTAGTACGCTTTCTACTACGGTTTTCTAAAGTTTTTTGTGAAAAAAGAGCACAAGGCAACCCAGGTTTGCAACAGAAATATATGCCCGTTCCATTATTTCTTGAGGAAAGAGTGAGGCAACAGGCTGTGAGGTATAAAAAATGTCAAAATTCCTTGGACACGACGCGAAACAATGGCAATTTTTTCTTGAACGTTTTCTTAAGAGCTGGATACTAAGCTATAAGTTGAAAATTCTGCACAAGAAAATTAACAAACGTATCCTGCGTTGGAGTTTACTTGCATACACTGAAAATAAAATCTGCGTACATATAACGGAAACTTGCGTATATCTTACGAAAATTTTTGTCATTTTGAGCCACGAAAGTTTTTCGTTGATTGTACAAAATCGTTTTCGTACATACTACGAAAATATGAGACATCAGATCTTTACGAACGAATTTCGTACTATTCACTAAAGAATTTCGTACTATTTCTTTATTTTTTTACGAAATTTCTGTAAAATGCACAAAAACAATTCGTATACATATATTAACGAAATTATTTTCCTAAAATCTGCGACTGTTTCGTAGAATTCGCGATTGCTTTCATTCACCACATTGTAAAAACATAGTACTAATTATAACACAACACTTTTATTTTGTTTTTATCCTAAATTTAAAACATTTTTCTTTAACAAATGTTTTGCAAAAACGCTTAGCATTAATGATTGAAATATAATGAAAGTGTTGTGTTATAACACTGTGAGACAAATGGTAGGGGTCAGTGATCGGGAAGGATTCAAACTACCGGGGAAAGTTATATCGGTAAAAAAGAAGTTATACGTGTCCCGGCGTTTCGCTGTGTCACGTCTAGGAATCGAGATATATCGATTTGAAGTTAGTAACTATCATATAGGGGAAATTGTCACCTTTGGTGGTCTTTTTTTTTGACATAACTCGAGAACCACTAGTCCGATTTTGCTCAAACAAATTCAAGAAAATTAAAAATTACAATTCCTTTAACCTGTTCATATAACCTTTTTATAGAATCAACAGTTTTGCCGGTAAAAATAAATGTATGAAGAAAAAAATATTTTTTGCCTAAAATATAAAATAAATATTTTTTTATTTTTTAAATTCATAAAAAATCCAAAACGGAAAAAAGGCAAGTCGTATTACTTTCACGCAAAGTCACATAACCTTTAAGCAAAATGAGATATAGATCATGAAAATCGATGGACGCGTTTCGCTTTTATTCACAATTAAGTGAAGGTATCTCATTTTGACAAGAATATTGATTTTATGTTTCAACTGAATTTGGATAATATTTATTATATATTATTTATTATTAACACGTAAAATTAAAAATTATTACAGGTAATTATTAGGTTATTACATAGATACATAGGTTATAAAAATCGATGAACGCAAAACTTATTTTCGTTTGTTTGCGCCCTTTACTTTCTTGCGTGGTGGTTCGCCCACTTGTTCAGAGTCTGTATCGGATGATCTGTCATACTAAAATCAATTGTTTTACTCGTTAACTTCATTTTTGTGACTTACCCTCGGAGGAAACTCCCATTGTATATTCTTCATCTTCATCTTCATTGTCAGGATCGTACGTCTTTTGCGACCACCAACAAATTTCAGCCACCAGCGAATCGAGCCTTTTGCCTTTGTATCGCGTTTCCATTGGCATTGCCACTTGATGGAAGCGCTCGCCATGTTCATCCGACTCTGAGGCTAGCTGCTTGCTGAAGTATTCGAGATAGTGATGCAAGAAGTGAATTTTGAGGGACATATTCACTCCAATTTTCAGGAAGTAGTGCAACATCTTGGTCACAAGAGCGGGGTAATTGTGTGCTCGCGTACTTCCCATAAAATATCGTATGACTTTCTTCACTGCCCTCCACGCAAAGTAATCATTACCGTCTAAAGCACCTTTAAATTCCTTTGATTTCATGAGCTTTCGTATATCCGGCCCGTTCAGAACCCCTTCCTTCAATTTTGCTTCGCTGATTGGTGGGAAAATATTTTTCAAACAATCAAGAATTTTCGGTTGCTTCACAATGGCCTTGATGAAATTTTTTACGATTCCCAGTTTGGTATGGAGAGGGGGCATGAGGACGTTCTCCATTGGCACCAGTGGATCATTTACGCAGTTGTGTCCTTTCTCCGTTGGATCTCGAGCAAGCCAGTCATGCGTTTCGTATTGGTTTTCTTTTAAATCGGGTATCCCAAAGACACAAGAAACACATGTTTTTCGTATAGCCTCCTTGGAGACCTCTTAGCATCGCCACGACTTTCAGATCACAACTGATCCGCCACATGTGATCAGTGTAGCAAACTTTATCCAAAATTATTTTCATGGAATCGTATGTTTCGCTCATGTCTGTGCTGTAGCCAATGGGAAGGCTTGGTTTTTTATTATATTTATGTAGCAAAACGACTTTCAGGCTGGATTTCGAAGAATCGATGAACATTCGCCAATCAGCTGCGACATAATTAATGGCCATCGCCTCCATCAGTCCCTTTATATCGTGGCAGTAAACAAATGTGTTCCCTTCATTGAGTGTGTAGTACCGTTGGAATAGCAATTGTCGTCTTCGATATCCGGTGACTTTGACATTAGGCTCCAAATTGTTGCCTTCTTTCAAAAGCTGGGCAAGTTTTTCTGCTTCACGTTGTGAAAGGTTTATCTGCAACAATCTTGTCCATTCTTGCTTGTGATATTGGAATTATTTTGTTCGATGGGCCGGCTTCTGGTGTTGGTTTATAGGTGAAATCCGATTGATCCATTGTTTCAATAGAAAAAGAAGTTTCTCTGTCAGGACTTGGAAGCGGTGGAATTGGTATTTCATCCGAATGCGGTAGAGGTATTTGTGCACTTTTAACAGATATGTAAACTCTTCGTTTAAGGCCTTTACGATTTACTCCACATATTTTGTTTGCGCAAGCGTAACAGTTGTCGGAATTGTGCTCTCCTGGATCAGTCCAAATCATTGGTACACCAAAACGAAGTGAACTGCGTTTCCCTTGGATCCACATGTTAAGACCATTGTAGCACGTTTTACAAATTTTGTCTGGGTCCCACGAAACGCCGCGAATTATTTCGGAATCAAAATAAAGTTGAAAAGCGCGCTCCACTTGCTCAGTGAGTAATGCAGTATTTGTTGAAAAGGCTCTTTTGCCACAAACGTAACAAAATAAATTGATATTTTCTGGACAATTTGCACTCATTTCGGTTTTATACTTTTATTACTTTTTCGTCACTTTAAAAAAATCGTACTTTACGCGTTCGGAGACACTTGTTGAATGACAAAAATCGATTAATGAACACCTATAAATACTACGTAAGTTTCAATATTTTACTGAGAGGTACTTATGAATTGGCGCATCTTTTAACGGTGGCTATATACCTGTTTCGTGTGCGTTTTAAATTTTTCGAAACGTTCTAAAACATGACCACTCATAAATGTGGGTGCAATTTGTGTAAAAAAAATCATGCAGGTAGCCAACGAAAAAAACCCAAATAATTAAAAAAGTGCACTTTCCTTTTTTCCTTTTAATTGTCCACGCACATTTATGACCGTTTTTTAGTTTGTTACCGCTACCATAAAAATCAAATAACCTTTTGTTTATGACTTTTTTTTTTAATTCTGACAATCATAAAAAAAAGTCATCAATGTTTTTTCCAAGGAATTTTGAGCATATCTCGAGCAAATTTTTGAAATTCATACCTTTACTTAATTTTGAATAAAAGCGAAACGCATACATTGATTTTCATGATGTATGTCTCATTTTGTTCACAGGTTATGTGACTTTACGTGACACTTTTTTCCGTTTTGGATTTTTTATGAATTAAAAAAAAAAATTTTTATTTTTAGGCAAAAATCCTTTTTTTCTTCATACATTTATTTTTACCGGCAAATCTGTTGAGTATATAGAAAAACGTTATATTCACAGATTAAAGGAATTGTAATTTTTAATTTTTTTTTAATTTGTTTGAGCAAAATCGGACTAGTGGTTCTCGAGTTATGTCAAAAAAAAAGACCACCAAAGGTGACAATTTCCCCTATTTGATAGTTACTAACTTCAAATCGATATATCGCGAAACGCCGGGCCACGTATAACTTGTTTTTGACCGATATAACATTTCCCGTTGGTTTCATCCCATCCCGATTTTGACTGTCGCATAGTGTAATTTGAGCTATGTTTTTTTTATTGTTTGAAGAATAAAAGCAACAATACATTCTACGAAAGAAGTGCAGATATTACAAGTATAATTGTCGTAAATAATAAGTTTTACCTAAATTTTCTAACTACTCTGCAGTTTAAAATTAAAAAAAAAGGTTATTTTACCTATAATAAAACTTAAGTGTTCTATTTATATGCATACGAATAGGTTCTATACTACATATTTTTTTATTGCTTAGCCTTCATTCAATAAATTATATTGATGCAAAGTTTTAAATTATGAAACTCAACAAAACTCTTATTAAATATTATAAGATAAGAAAGAAAGAATATTAAAAATACTGGTTTCTCTTTCTAAAACATTATAATATTTTTATGTGGAGGTATTTGGTAGATTAGCAGCTTCTTCGATGTTTGTTTCCTTGACGACTGTAAATTAAAGGAAAATTATAAGGCGTTTGAAAGGCAAGTTTCAGTGAAAAATCATACTCTACTTACTTAAAATTTCATTAAGTAGTGCGTATGTTCCTGGCTTGGGCTTGCCGTTGATAGGTAATGATGCCTATTTATGAAGTCCGACGTAACAGCCCAAGGCTCAGCGTAGGCGATGTTAAAAACATTGTATGCTTAAAATAATATATCCCCACCTTTAATATTTAATTTTGTATTGTATTTTTATCCAACAAATCCCTTTTTAAAACGTTTAAAATTAAATTACATATATGTACGTCTCACAGCAGCCAACTAGTAATTTCGCAATGTCTCGCGGTAAATAAAAATATGATGAAATATTGAACTGCCGGTAATTTAGTATATTGTACGAAAATATTCGTATGCTGTACGAATTTAAAAAACATATTTCTGCATTTGTTCTATGTACGAAAGTATTAAGTGAATTGTACGAATACAGAATTGTAGATTTCGTAAATTTTAAAACCATACGTAAATATTACGAATTCCTTCGTACAGTAAACAAAATTTTTCGTAAAGAGATTTGTTCAGTAATTTACGAATGCGTTCCGTAAAATAAACATAAGTTTTCGTAAATTGTACTGAAAAAATGCCTTACGAAAGTCCTTTCGTTATATTTACGAATGGTTCGTAAAATCTTGTTTCGTTGTGGAAAATATGTTCGTATTATGAATGAAAGTTTCGTACATTGTACAAAAACTAAGACTATCATCGTATAAAAGTGAAAATAAATCGCTGAAATTTTGTATCTGCATAAAGAAAAAACAGTGTTGCCCTACAAAACAACTACACTATGAAGCGGCCTTAAACTCGCACTGAAAAACAGGTCAGTAGTTTAAACTTAGTTTAAATTTAAACTGAGTTTAAATCAGCACTAAAAAACTGTCCCTAAGAAATCGCCTCATGGGAGGAAGGTCAGTAAAATTATTATTTTTGAATTATAATATTCCCCTTTTGAACTTTGGCTACTAGATTAAAACACTGTCAAGGTTAAGCACTCGTTCAAAGTGTTTATAATATAGAAAAAATTTAGGTAATACTTGACTTGAGGTAATACGATCACTTATGTTGATTATAGCTTTTATAGATTTTTTAGCTTTTATTCCTAACATTCGCATTCGCATTCGCGTTCGCACATTCTCATCCGCACATTCGGATTCCGAAAATTCGCATGTGAAAAATATGACATTCCAAACATCCCTAATACATACATACGCACGTTAAAAGTACGCTTTCTACAATGAAGCTTGACAGAGAATGCTTTGGCCACTAAATTAACATATTAACGAGAGATAAATTAATATTTCATATCAATAATCGCATGAAAAATAATATTTCTTGCCTTCATTTATTTGGAGAGGGGTATTTGGGATCAACTTGCCAAATAAAGAGAAATTATAGGCATCTAACTTGATTCATGGCAGAGTGAACAATCACATCGGAAGAACCAATCGAAGCTATATGTCCTACACGGAACCAAAAACGTACATATTATATATGAATTTGTGCATAAGACGCGTGAAAATAATCATAAATATTGAACCAATGTACGCCTTCATGAGTCAGGTGTATATTAGAGTGGTTCATGAAAACACTCTTTTTGGAAATTCATAAACGCTACATCAGAATATTGTTATTTGTGATAAAAAAAGAGACACGTTTTTTTATTTAAAAAAAAAATGTTTTCTTAGAGGTCGCGCTGGTCGGTTTTTTATAAAAACGCTGATGTTTTAAATTTTTTTATTTTCTTGACATGTTAAAATGCAGCTAAAAGTGTGGTTTTTACATATAATTACTCTGGTATTATTGGGGAACTTTCCCTTAATTACACACCTGTCTTGGACCATTAGAATGGGTCTAGTTCCCAAAAATATGCTCTCGAAAAGACACTAGTAAAATTAAAACGTTGATACTGAACGATTTACGCATTGTCATGGGTTGGAACTTGTTACCAGGGGGTTTCTGGGGTTGCTAATTAGGAATCTGAAGTCAGTTTTTCGAAATGCAAAATGGCGGATCTAAAATGGCTGTCCATTTAAAAAAAAAATGATTGGATTTGTTCCAATCACGTGACTCGAGAGTTTTTGGGGTCGCAGATTACGAATATGAAGTCAATTTTTTTTAAATTCAAAATGGTGGATCCAATATGGCGATCGAATTAAAAAAAGGACTAAAATTAAAACGTTGATATTGAACGTTTTAAACATTTTCAAGGGTTAAAACTCGTCTCCAGTGGGTTCTGAGGCTGCTGATTACGAATCTGATGTCAGATTTTAAAAATTCAAAATGGTGGATCCAATATGGCGATCGAATTAAAAAAAGGACTAAAATTAAAACGTTGATATTGAACGTTTTAAACATTTTCAAGGGTTAAAACTCGTCTCCAGTGGGTTCTGAGGCTGCTGATTACGAATCTGATGTCAGATTTTAAAAATTCAAAATGGTGGATCCAATATGGCGATCGAATTAAAAAAAGGACTAAAATTAAAACGTTGATATTGAACGTTTTAAACATTTTCAAGGGTTAAAACTCGTCTCCAGTGGGTTCTGAGGCTGCTGATTACGAATCTGATGTCAGATTTTAAAAATTCAAAATGGTGGATCCAATATGGCGATCGAATTAAAAAAAGGACTAAAATTAAAACGTTGATATTGAACGTTTTAAACATTTTCAAGGGTTAAAACTCGTCTCCAGTGGGTTCTGAGGCTGCTGATTACGAATCTGATGTCAGATTTTAAAAATTCAAAATGGTGGATCCAAAATGGCGACCATCTTTAAAAAATGATTGGATTTGTTTGAAACTCTTAACCGCCATTTTGAATTTTGAAAATCTGACATCAGATTCGTAATCAGCAACCCCCGAAACCCCCTGGTAACAATGTTCAACCCATGACAATGCGTAAATCGCTCAGTATCAACGTTTTAATTTTAGTACTTTTTTTTAATTTGATCGCCATATTGCATCCGCCATTTTGAATAAAAAAAAAATTGACTTCAGATTCGTAATCGGCGAACCCAAAAACTCTCGAGTGCCGTGCACTGCCTTCGATTTTTAGTAATTTGATGTGGGGTTCCATAAAATGAAAATTGTTTAGTAAGGGTTCCATCATCTTAAAAGTTTAAGAACCCCTGGGCTAGAGTATAATAGTAGTGCGGGCAAACTCTTTAAACTTTCCATACAGAACGCAACGTTTTGATAAAACTTCAATATGACGGCCAGTAAATCCAAAAAAATTTGATTTTTATTAAAATTACCTTCAGCAGCTCATTTGGATCTTAGGCATAGTTCCCCAGTAAGTTTTGTCCACGAGAAATTGAATCAGAAAAATTGCTGAAAACGTACCCTTTTCATAACCATTTTCGGTACTTTCGTAGAGCTAACCCCCGTTTCATCCACTTTTCTTACCGTTTTCGGATTAATTTTTCGAATTTTTTGCTGGCTGGGCTGTTCTCGTAACAAGCGCAGCAGCTTCGCGCACGTGTATATGTTACTTATTCTAGGTCCCTGAAGTAATCACTACAACATTCACCGACTGGTTTCGCACACATGCCATAACTTAGTGCTTATCTAGTGCCAATTTATGCCGCTAAAAAAAATTTAGTGCTCTGTAAATTTTGGTAAAAACATGTGGTAGCCATCTCTTCAGCTGAA